CTGTTTCTTAAAAAAACTTAAGTAGAAAATCTTACTTAAGTCAAAAAAGACAAAGACTTTTTTGGACTTAAGTTTGACTTAAGTCAGATTTTCTACTTAAGTTTTTTTAAGAAACAGGCCCCAGAGTTCCTCAGATCAGAAATGCGGAAACAAAATAAAAACATATTTTTATTGTCTAACTACATCATTTTTCATGCGCAGAGAGTCAAAATTATGTTTTCACTAGCACTTTGTGGTTTTATTCAATACAACAAAGAACTACAAACAAATGTAAATCTCGACTTTAATTGACACGCTGTATATTTTTTATTATAATGAATAAATTTAAGTAGTTCTGACATTGATAAGAAATAATTATAAATTTCAGTGCACGATAATGATGAGTTTAAACAAAATTTTTAACTTAGCGGAAAAACAGAAAATGTTTAAAATGCGACAAATAGCAGACAGCGGACAAATTGCGGAAAAAAACTCAAATATACAGAATTTGTCCGCAAAATGCGGACTATCTGGCAACTCTGACTAGGATCCCATTTTGCCCTCGTTTATCGCATCAATCATTAGAAATGCTGCTTCCTACTGTTAATAGTCTTTTCCACTCATATGTTGACCACTTGAAACAAATATTTCAGTTTTCCTTCATAATTAAAAGTCTAAAGATGCAAAATTTTCATGTTTTTTATCGACAGGAAATATAAATGCAAGTTTTTGAATTTTTTTCTAAGCGAAAAAGCCTTAAATCTGAAGATCTTTTATTTGACAATAAACTATAGTACTAAAAAGTAAAAAAAAATGAGTGATTAATAATCACTTCACTCTTATATTACCACAATGTTTTAACAGAAACGTTATATATTAGAACAAGAGAAAGATACATAAAAGTGCCCTATGAAGAAAATATTTTGCTCGAAAATGATGGGAATCGATAATCTATGCGATAGAACAACTTTGTTAAAAGATACTGGCAGTTCAAGCATACGATATACTGAGGTTTCTTTATGTCATACGCTACATTAATGTTTACTTTCGATGTAGCAGAAATCAACTGAACATAGAATAACTGGGACGACAGTTCAAAATAGTTCCTTTGTAAATTTACCATGAAAAAGGAAAAAAATTTTCGTAGTTATTTGTATTAATAACATTGTTGAATCATCGATAAATCTCACCAAAAATTCTCTGAATTGGATAACTTCAAATTCTTGGCGTAGCTTAATCGAAAAAATTAAGACTAGATAAGAATTTTCTTAAGCAATAGCTGCGTATTAACATCTTCGTTTCTCTTTTTTTTGTAGAACAACATTAAATGAATTAATAAATAATGATTCACCGTGGCAATTTCAAGTATCGTTCAGCAGTAAAACATATCCTGATTATTTGTATGTTAACAAAGAGTCAGTGGACTTTCAAATAATAAAGAAAAGAATGAAATCCAATCAGGTGTTGTTTTTGTATTTGCTATTGATATTAATATATATTCTATCAACCAATGCCTATTTAAAAATATGAGAAAGATAGTTTTGTTAGGCGATGTACCATTATCATAATATTTGAAAGTTGTTATTTATACAATGAAGATAATTCGCTTGTGTGTGCAAAGACACATCCACTTCGAACATTTTTTGAAATAAGATGGACAAGCAATTTATATTACCAGTAGTAGGAGTATTTTTATTATTACTACTACTGATAATATAAATTGCTTGTCCATTTTGTTTCAAAAAATGTTCAATCAAAAATACGACTCAATTTTTCTTATTGCCAATATTATCTCAGATATTCAGTTATTTGTTGTTGTTGTTGTATTTTATCTATTTTTTTTGTCTCCTATCATCTAGATTGTCGGATTTTGTATTACTCTATGTTTGTGTGTAGACTTCATCATCCTACAAATAGTACATCATTTATACTTGTCATTTCTCTGTTTGATAGAGAGGACATCACACTAGTACATGAAAAGAAAAGAACAAAATTGAGATATTTACTTACTTTTGCTTTATTCTATTAGCATGATTTGCCAGGTATTTTATTCATCACATCCTAAAGTGATTTTATTAGGTACTAGATATGAACTATTTAGCGAATCGCAAACACTAACAGTATTCGACTGGACTAAAGTTAGAAACTCAGTATAATTGTGTTATTTTTACTATATATATATATATTCTATATAGCTATTAAACGCTTTATTATTATTTTTCTTCCAAAATTATCTCAATTCTCAATTTTGAATTAATGTCGTATGGATTTTTTTTAAGATTTTAGATTATTATTATTATTTAATTGATAGTCATGGCTGGAAGTGCATTGCGAAGATTGATTGCTGAGTATAAACGTAAGTTTACTATTTTCTATATTGTTCTTTTTGATTTGATTTTAAACAATGAATGACTGTTTAGAACTGACCACCAATCCTCCGGATGGTATTCTTGCTGGTCCAATGAGTGAAGAAAACTTCTTCGAATGGGAAGCACTTATAACGTTGGTACCAAATTTTAATAATCGAATGTTTTATTTTTTTCTAAAATTGAACGAAAAGTCTGCTATTAAAAAGTTTTCCTTCTAGTGGACCAAGTGGCACACCATTTGAATTTGGTGTATTTGTAGCAAGATTAGCGTTTCCTACAGATTATCCATTATCTCCGCCAAAAATGCGTTTTACTAGCGAATTATTTCATCCAAACAGTAAGTAATGAGCAAGCTTACCAACTTCTTATAAAAACTATATATGAGCTAAATGTTTCTTTCAATACCATTGTACTAGTCAGTATTAGAGTTCTTTACTAGTATTCTAGTTTTTCTGAATAGTATTAATCAAGCTAGTTAAATAATTCTTATGAAAATAGTTCTACGTTTGGCTAAACAATGTGATTTTTTATTTTATTTAGTCTATGCTGACGGTCGTGTTTGTATTTCTATATTGCATTCACCTGGCGAAGATCCAATGGTTTGTATATTTCATATATTCTGTTAGAATTGTATTTGTTCATGAAATTTGTTATTCTAGGGTTATGAAACAAGTGCTGAACGTTGGAGTCCTGTGCAAAGTATCGAGAAAATATTGTTATCAGTCGTATCGTTATTAGCAGGTTAGTCTTCTAGAGCAATATTTTTTTTGTTCGTAAAACTCACGAGGGAACATATCCAACTGTCAAATCGCTTTTCTAACGAAATGCGGTAGCTTATAGGTAATCGATCATGCTGATTCCGAATATGATAGCCGTTTTGGCTAATAGGCCTTTCCTAATCGGTT